CATTTTTGGATTTTCTCAATCTCATCACCTAAGTATTGTTGAATATCAAAATGCCAAACTTGGCAGGCATATTCTAAAACAGTCTTATGATGGAAGTGAAATCCGTGAGCAATATCTTCAAATTGGCGTTCGATCTTTTTAAAATTCGAAGCATGTATACAGTCTGTCTTTTTCCAGCTTTCCTAACGATTTGGTGTATGTGGCCGTTCCAATTCATATTATCTTGAAAGGTAGTTCCGAGGATGCGAGTAGATTCTACGCGTTTCACTAGTGGTACGTCGTTAATCAATAGAGGCGTAAAGTTCCGTTTTTCTTTGGAAAAGTCAATGACCATTTCTTTACATTTATCTACGTCGAGCTTCATATTGTTTGCGATAGTCCAGTTATAAATATAGTCCACTAGGTCCTGGAGTTTACTGTTACAGTGAGGTGGGATACTTTCGGTGACCGTGCAGTCGTCGACACATGGCCAGAAATCACGGACAAAATGGCGGCTAATTCGATTTCTTATGCGCACAACGAACTTATTTTACGAAACCAAGATGGCGGATATTATACGGTATTCCATTACAGACAATATAAAATCGACGCGCACAATGAAATATAGAATGATTTGCATGTTCCACACGTCTACAAATAGTATTACCTACCTGAAAATATAGCTCTCGAGGGTTTTGACGTCTCACGATTTGCCATTAGCCGGCCCGACTAAACTTGATTCAAAACATTTCCACACAATATAAGCTTCTATTAAAATCAGCAAATCCTCCCTACTCGCTCACATTTAGTCCATTATAGCGCTGTCGAAAACGTTTGCCGACAACTTCCACACGTCTACATTTCTTGTATGATGTTCGTTCTGCCATTGCGTATAAGTTTTAAAACACCAGAGATTTTAGCTAAGCGGCCCGAACACTTTCAAATTGTCTGTTTTGAGGCAAAATAAAACCTGAAATTCCTGCCATTGCGCGCGTTTAGGGTAGAAAAAACCTCAAAACGTTGCCAAATACAACGCAGAAAATGCCTTATTGCTTCGCCATTTTATAATCATTTTAAGGGGCAGCCACTGACTAACAACTGCGAGGGGAAAAGGCTCCAAAACAAAAGAAATTGCGGGAAATGCAAATATATTCAAATTTGTTTGGTCTCTAAAGTTTGGAATGCTGTATTATCTTCGTTATAGTTTTAAGAAATTCATTCCTACAATCTTTCACTTATATAATCATCTATCCCTGGATCAAATTTATATTTAACTCTTTGTAAAAAGAAATTGTTGAATGTATTTATAAAGTTTGTTTATAGTAGATTTGAAGTCGCGCGCGTGGGAACAGTTTCTGCGCCCACAATTAAAACCGCTGACTGTCCATGATTTCTGGCCATGTGATATTTCCATCTATAAGGCCATTCAGTAAGTAGGTCGTTTATCATGATAAGGAAGAGAACAGAACCCAAAACTGTCCCTTGAGTTACTCGTCCATTTACATTGCGCCAATCCGACAAACAGTTGTTCAGTTTTACTCGTTGTTTAGTTTTTTCTTACGTTGTAAGAAGGCTTTGAATCCAGTCTATTATACTTGATGGTACGTTCAAATCAGAAAGTTTCTGCAGAAGAATAGAATGGTCAATACGGTCGAATGCCTTCGAGAAGTCAAGAAGGAATACTTTTAAGGAATACTTCTTTGCCGCATCTGTCTCGCTTAGTAGATGATGTACGAGACTTATTAAGTTGTGGGTTGTTGAGATGTTTTTAAGTGAACCAAACTGTCTTTCATCTACTTTTTCTTTGATCGAATCAATCAACCAATCGGCAACAAAACTTTCTTTGATCGAATTAATCAACCAATCGGCAAAAAGCCTTGGCCAAACGTAAGGGCATTGTCGTGGAAATATATTCGTGATTTTCAATGTTTGCTCAAATGTTTTCCTGTCTCCCACATCTGGAAACATTGGCTTTTATTGCAGAAACAAAAGTTGCTTCCCGGAAAGCAAACTACAAAATTCAGATACATTTGATGAAACGCTCTTAAACTTTCTCAATTTGCAGACGCTGGTAAGACACATACCGAAACATTGGTAAGACCAATACTATGACAAATATTTGGGGGCGAATCTAGCCCCTTTTAATTCGGAGGGTGTCTGCCAGAATTGCCCTGCCAAAACCGATGACGCCCTG